CTGCTCCTCTTGTTTTGAATGCTGCCGCTGTAATTTTGCCACAGAGGTTTTAGGGCTGTCACTGAACAACATCACATAAATCTGCTGTCTTCTGAATTGAGACAGCCCGTGTTGGCCACCCAGGAAAGTGAAAGAAGGGTCATTTGTCAAGCTGAGGCAGCTGGGAAATTGGGAGGCACTCTTCAATTTTCAACACGTGAGTCATATTTTTTTAGCACTCGCGGGGATCATGTCAGACGAAGTTCAAATGTTATCTATACGCACTACATTTCTCATATCTGAATGCAAGCCCCCTCAAAAGACATCATACAGAGGCTGCACGAACCATACTAAAGCAAGGGAAATGTTGATAAGGCAGCTGTTATTCTGAAGAGAGAGAAATGCATGCCAACATTTCAGAATCTGACATTCTGCCTGCAGACAGTTGACATCTCTGTTGAGCTCAGGTTAGTAACTCACTCTTCCTTATTTCACCCCATCTCCCTCTCTCCCTTGCTTTTGCTCTATCAATTGAAACTTTCTTATAAACTTTTCATGCAGCATGCCAATAGGATTTGAAGTATCACTGCAGGCACTTTCAGCTGTGTTGACAGGTCACAATCAATCTTGATGAATGTGGTGAACTGTGAATGTTTACAGGCAATTTTCTGTGCTGATATGTTCTTGAGAGTTGCTTTCAGAAAAAAAAAAAAGATTAGTGTTCTTTCCTTATTTATGTTAAAGGTCCTCTTTATGCATTCAGGTGGAAGATATTATTTTTTCTATTCCATAACTGCATAATTACTGTATAATTTCATGGAATAATTATTGTGATTAAAAGCCTGATTAGAAATGAAATGATATATTTGACTGTGTAATTATTTGAAATTATGATTTCTGCAAAAAAAAGATGTAAAACTCTGACTTTTATCAAAAACAGTGATACATTCTTTTACATCTACATTTTTTATTTCACTTGTCAAAAATGGAAGTTTTCATTGATAAGATTATTGAATTGATTGCTTTGTTCCCTTCTTGGAGATGTGGTAGATTCAAGTATTTTTTGTAAGCAAATAAAAAAATGAAAATACATTTTCAATCAAAACAGTCATTGCCTCTGCAGTTCACAGCCTCTTAGGGAGAAATAACTTTTCATGTGCTTTGGAAAATGACAGATGAATGCAATGAATGCAACGGCATCCTGAGGCAGATGCAGCCTTATAAATTGAGCAAAGCTCTCTGATCTCTGGGATGATAGATCACGCCATATTCTGTAACAAAAGACAGTCTTGCTATTTCATATTCTGTCATAACAAGCAATTTTCTTTAAAGAAAGACTCAGAGCTTGACTGTGCGTGGTATAAAAATAGCTAAGTAATGCAGTGCTATAGATAATCTGTGGATCACCCATGACATTATCAAGATTAACAGTCCTATCATACAAGGTGATACCCATGGCCAATCCTGTGCCTGCACACCTTCCATCATCAAAGTCCATATTTAGATGTTGCGCAGTTGTAGATTATCATCCCTGCGTGTTGCCTGGGACTGAGTGGCTCATGTTCACAGCAAAGCATCTCTGTGCCCCATTGGCTGTTGGAGAAATGAGGCATGTTCAGTGTGAAATGGTGTGTCACTGATGAGGCCACATAGGTAACAGCGTGCATGTGAAAAGTGAAAGACCCCACATCCTCAAGTAAAAGTTACATGAAGTCATAACTTGTGTTTTTATGTTATTTGTTTCATCCTCTGACTCATCATTGCACTCAAGATGTCATCAAACGCTGTTGTCATAGAAACCTCTTCAAACATGAATACATCGTTTTCTGAATTAAACAAGGAGTTATTTTTTATGACACATGGAATTTGACCTTGAGCCAATCATTATGATGCTTGACAGCTTCTTAAAGACTATTAAAACAGACTGTCTAATCTCTGTTGACGACAGGTAAATAAATAGTTCATAACATTTGGATGCAGAACATCATTGGGATGCTAAGTGGTTTTCTTTTAGTGCTCTCATTTCTGTTAATGATTGTGGCGCAGATCGGTGTGTTCATGGCGATCCCCAGGCACTGGCTAATCATCCTCTTTCTCTGGATCTCACAGACAGACTCTATGGAGTCTTCAGAGGATATACAGAGTCGATTTCCCCCCATGTTAGGCTGCACATGTGAATGATGCACAAGGCAATCTGAGGGGAGCAATGCCAAGAGAATTAAAAGACAATGACAACTTAACAACATTGGCCAAACAAACACAACAATACAGTTCCGGTCTCAAATTTCTTTTCTGTGTATAGTTTTGCAAGACATGAAGCTGGTGAAATGAAGATTCTACATAGTTGTGAATGTGTCTTTGTGATGGATTGGCAATCAATTTGGTGTTTCTTGCCTTCCACTGCATGCTAGGAAAGGCTATACATGACCCTCAATAGGACAGAGTGGGTATAGATAAAACGTGGATCTATAACACTCATCTGTGATCTCTCCTTGCTTCCATTGCACAGCTTCCACTGATGTGTTTTGCAAGGATGTCAGGAATCTGGGAACATAATGTGCCTGCTTCTCAGACATCCCTCACACTGCAGTCTGTGCCTTAAAAACAAACGACAACATCTTATTCCTTCCCTCCTTCCTGAGCATCTGCATTATATTGAAGGCTTCCTTTAAAAATGTACAGAAACTTTGCTTTCATCAGAAACAACACATTCACAGAGGATTCGTTGCTTTGTTCCATATGCTTACGTAACACCGTGCACAACTGATTGAGAGATTTGAGATGATTATGCATCTTGAGACAAACTGCTGAAGCCAGACAGTAATGCACCTAGATGATACCCTAGCTGTTTGTAACTTTCAGGATGTGCTAGTTGCAACATTTTCAGTTGCATCAGTTTACTTTAAAAATGTGTAACAGGCATGTAGATTATTATCATCTTGACTTGTTGTGACACCTGGCTCTCTCTTGCTTTCTAACTCCCTTACACATGCAACCAAACCAAAGAGATGACAGAGAGAAAGGTTAAGAGTGTTTCATGCCAGGCATCTTAAGCTTTTTTTTGTGGCAAAGTAAAGAAGTGTAGACACCTAAGAAGGCCAAACATAAAACCGGCAAACTGTAATGTTCCTGGAGAAAAAACAAAAAAGAAAGACAGAACAAACAAAAACATTCAAGTCTGCCTCTGGAGACGAAGGAAAGGAAAGCAAATCTGCCCTGCCTGGCAACAGCACTCATTTTGGCTGGCTTTTATCTGGGTTTGGCCTTTTGACAATAGATGCGATTGAAGCAATCTTCAGAGCCAGCATTTCTATTTGTCTCAAAGGTCATCCATTCAGAATTTCAAGGTAGACGGGGAAAGGTGAAGGGGTAGAGTAGCATAAGCAGGCCTTGATGAATGATCGAGGAATTGGTTACGTGTCTGCTTGTGTGTACATAAAGATGTATTCATCAGCATGCATGTGCTGATGTGTGTGTGGGATCACATGTATTTGCATGCATTGTATCTTTACACAGTGTTGCGCGTGTGTGTGTGTTGTGTGTGGGTGTGCATGTATGTAAGACTTCTTTTTGGGACTGACTTTCAGCCGCAGCATATGCCTTACGTGATACTTTCTGTGGTACTGCCGGATTCAGACTTTGTGATCTCTTCATGAACTCAAAACTCTTATCCACTCCTGCCACTCCATCTACTCTCCATGATGACCCCCATCAATTTTCATAATCATCCTTTTACTCTCCTTTATTATCGCCTTCCATCTCCCCGTCTCTCCAGCGCTGTATTCTCATCTCCCTCTTATCTCCTCCTTGTCTGTTCAGAAGATAGCCTGGATCCAAAGCTGCACTAAGCCATCTCAAACTTCAGTCCAATTCTTCTACATGAATATTTCATTTACATTTAAAAAAAAAAAAACATGATCTTATGGATGACGGGGTAGCTGTAAACACTGTTGATGGAAAGTAAAGATGGGAAAGTGGGTCAATTTGTGAAGTTTTCAATTCAGCAAATGGTTTACTCTCAAATCAAGTACTAAAAATGGACATAATTACCAACTTGTTTATATTGTAAACAGAAAAACATACATAGATACTCTGATAAGCAATTATTGCTGAGCTGCTGGTAAACAGGCTCCTTTGGTTGTACAATGCTAGTAAGATGAAGCACTGTGCAGTAGGCTAGACTCGCAGCTATATCATATGCAACAAATTTTAAAAGAGTTGAGAAGAAGATTTTTTTGACTCCTAAACAAAGTTGTTTCTATCTCTTTACACAGACTGTCGGACAATTGTTTCCCCCATTGAGAGTAAATCACATCTCAAATAAATCAATATTTCCTGTCTCTGTTTCATGGTTATATGAAACTGCGCAAGCACAAAATAAATGTATACAGTAAATCAAAAAACTTGAGCATTTATTTAAAATGTTCAAAATGTCTTATATACGCTTTCAAGGCTTCAGGGAAGTTGTGAAAGTACATCCTGAGTTTAAGAGAATGATAAATGCTGTGTTCTTGTCTTTGCTGGGGGACATAATAATGATGAGACACATCAATCTTTATTACCAATCCACCACCCAGTCTAGAACATCCAAGGGCAACAGAAATATTGCACTCATAGAGAACATTTATCTTCACACACCTGCCTATAGCTTTTAGCTGCAAGGAAACATTTTCCATCTAGATTTTGGGCTGTGAGCACATTATCTACTCTTTGTTATTCTCTATGAAAAATTGCTAATTCAACTCAATATAGCCAACTAAGCTGAGTAATACGGATTTTTATTTATAGTGAGCAACAGAATGACTCAATTTTATATGTAACAGGGTATAATCCTCAATTCAATCAGTCGCAGCTATAATTTACTGTGTTTCCATTGGTGGACTCATCTCTCTATCTAGCCATAGTGGCTCTCTGATTTGCTTAATGACGTAAGATCCCGCCCTCTCGTACATGTCGATCTGTGATAGGTTGCTAGAGCTTTCTAACGCCCCGCCTACCGCATATATCCCGCCCCTTTCCACCGGCGTTCGATCGTGAAGCGAATTGACTGTTGCAGGCTCGGTATGTGGCGCATGAGTGTGCGTCTCGGGATGTGACGGTTGTCCCTCGGAGCAGCGATTCTGAATTAAAACATATATATATGCCCGGGGAACTCAGGAGAGAGAATATCTAAGGAGAGCGGGCACAAAACAAAGGGAGTTTACGACAGTGAAGAGTGGACGGAGACACAGGAGCCTGGCAGGAGGGACGCTCTAGCAAATCCAACCGACACCGCACGCAGAAATGGCGGAGCACCACGCAGCCAGCGACGGCAAGCACAAAGCGTCCACCAATGCCGGGGGCTCGGTGCACGGGAACAGCCGACCCGGCGCCGCGGGAGGAGGAGGGGGCAAAGGAGGCCTGTCTGGCGGACTGACACAGCCAGCAGGATGGCAGTCTTTACTCTCGTTTAGCATTCTTTTCCTGGCCTGCCTGGCCGGATTCAGCTCCAGACTTTTCGCGGTGATCCGGTTCGAGAGCATCATCCACGAGTTTGATCCATGGTAAGCTAGCTAACGTTTACCAGGTCAGGATGAGTGCATGGGAGAAAAAGAGGGACTGAGGTCCAAATGACTCCAGGGGGTCTTCTATTTAGTAAAGATTATTTTACTCTTTGGAAGTCTGCACAATAACAGCGACTGTTTTTAACAACTACTTTGATGTTCTGTTAATGTTAGCTCCTCACATTCAAGACAAACAACTGTTTTTTTTCCCCCCCATAATGACCAACGACACGATTTTTCTGTGCTGTCGATGTGACACATACAGATTGTGGGGTCAGTGCCCTGATATGTAGTCTGTCTCGGGGTCCTTGACATTTAGTTAGTGTGGTTTGACAACTCTAATGTAGATTTAGCATGTCAGATAAGTCAGATAATATCTGCAGTGAGCCGTATGTGGAGGCTTCACCTGCAGGTACAACTTTTTGGATTGTAGAAAAGCATGTGTGAATGTAACTGGGAGGAAGACGTGCGTGATGTCTCTGTAATCGGCGCGCGTTTTAATTCATTGAAAACTCAATTCATTGTGAGCGGGTGAAGTTGTGGTTGCTTATATGGGGATTTCGCATCAGCGGTGGTCGATATGGTTGGTTGAGGGTTGTTTTTACTGCTGGGATAAAGTTAAATAGAACTTCCTCTTGATTTTATAAATGTTGCGTAGAGAAATGCATACTGCACTACCAGGCTTTCGCGCAAATTACTGCCGGAGCTCATCGTAACTGTAGACTGCTTATAACCCGGAAGCCAACTGATCCGGTCTGGTATGTCTGTCATCACAATGCAGGATTATTCCGCTTTGTAACAGTGTCACATGGGCCCACAAATGTCGGCCTGGTTGCAATGTCATTCCCTCAATGCTGGCATACAATCTGGCATTCAGACAACACGACTGATGCATTCATTTATTAATTTTCAAGGACAGGTGCTCCATCTTGTTTAGGGTGACATACCTCCTCAATTATGTTGATAACTTGATTGAGTTTTCTAGCAAAAGGCCAACACTTAGGTAGCTAGTAGAGGTTCCACATGGTTCAGATGAGCTAGATCCTGCTTTGAGGCTGGAATTTGCAGCAAGGACTGACCCTAGCACTGTTAATGAGTATTCCCACATTGGCACTTTTTTCCTTTACAAACTTCATATATCCGACTAACTTCCGGGGTGGTCACACAGTTGGTGTATTACCTATACTGTTTTGCGGCACTTCACTGTGAAAGTGGGAGCTGTTTGCCTCATTATGAGGCTATACAGCAGCATCAATTTTCACAGCAGCAGAGATAAAATTGCACAGTTCTTTGGCAGCATGTTGCAGGGAAAAAAAGCAGTGTCAACCTTTTGATATTCAAAAGTCTAAAAGCCCTTGCAGCTATGAGTCTTCTACATCTGTTCTGTTCTTGTTTTCTCTTGGACCCCGAAAACAAAGCAATGCTTGTATGAAACAATCCCTTGCAGGCTTACATGTGCAAAATGGTGAGTTCAGCCACGAAGTAATGTTTTTTTTTTTGTATTTTTACAGTGGTCCACTTTACTATTAGAAGAAGCGTTGCTGTAAATAATCATAATTTTATACGAAAATATGTTTATCAAAACAGATTCACGCCAATCTGTAGTTGCCTATTTTTAAATCTTGCAACATTCTCCCCCGCCTCTAGTTATTCTGATCAGCATGCTGAGAACCATTCCCCTACATTTATACAATCCTTAACACTCTCGGGAATACTTCTGCGTGTATGGAGGCCAAAACACTAGAGTTTTTGTATAGATGAACACATAAACCTGACCCCAGCGAGTACTGCTTTTGCCAAGAATGCCAAATAGAGCATTATTTGTTCCAGTCTCTTTTGTAGACTCTGAAACTGGTATTTTTGTGATTATGATGTATTACGTATTCTAACTTCATCTTTTTGACAGTGAGAAAAGAAAACGTGTATTTTGAGACTACAGGAAAATGGGATGCTGATTGCAAGTGGCTGTCCCTCCCAGACACACATGATTAGTGCTGTTATTGATTTTTTTTTTTTTTTGTCCCCCTCTGCAAAAGAGATTCAAATTATCTATAGCTAACCATTACCTTTAAACAAGCTGGCAATTTGAAGAATGAAGACTGGATTTATTTACAAGCACCAAAATGTCAAGCTTATGCTGAAATATGCAAACACCACAAGCTGCACTGATTTTGTAGGGCAAGCCCCTGATATGACTTGCCCATTATCTGGCTCATTTTGCTTTCCTGATATTTGTTGATTAATTTAAGAACAGGCGGTCCATTGGCATTCAAGTGACATTTTTTTTGTCTTCTCCATTTCTGAAACTAATTAATCTCTAAAGCTAACTTAAAATTGCATTTCACTTTTTCTAACCAACTCCAAATTATGTTCAATCTTCTTAATTGGCAATGATTTAGTGGATGATTTGTGCTAAAAATATTCTTTTGACTGCCTGCTAGACTTTAACTTGTGGAGGTGTAACTCCTCAACCTTTCTCACATTTTTTAGGACCAGTGTTTGCCGAGCTGCTAGTGGTTCTCCAGAAGAGACAGACGTGTTCCTGCTCCCTGAGTTGACTTTTATACAAATTCTCTGTCCAGGTTTTTGTTACTTGAAGGAAAATGTAACTAAACTGAAAGCTGCACGGCGAGGTGCAAACATGTGTGTACGAGAGGGGAGCTTTCCTTAGAAGCAGTGCAGTTTTTTTCCACCATGGTTGTGTCAGGAAATAGTCTATTCTGACAGTAGACTGCGGGGGTCGGGGGGGTCCTCTTTCAAGCAAATAATGAGCTGGATACTCTGGTACGGAAGCACAGACATACACATCTACTCTGACACACTCTTATCTCTCTTTGACCGGTCGGCATCACAACTGTTGTTAATTCACAAGACAGCATCTTTGCTCAAGGTCTACGGATGCTCACAGTGTGTCATACAGGATATTAGCTTTTACTAGCCATGTCCACTAAAGCGGTGTGTTTGGACATACTGTAAGTGATGCTAAAATGATTAGTTTATGAATCAGTTAGTCCATTTGACTAACCATCATTTATCATGTAGAAATACCAGAAATTTACACGGCACTGTTAGTTGGAAGATTTGCTTCATTTTTTTTCTGCTTCACATGAATATGAATTGAATGCTGGGGTTTTCAGTCGGTCAAAAAATAAATAACATTAACTTAAATGCACTGATCCAACTTTTTACTCTCCCAATGCTACTTTTTCCCATATTTAAAATCTGCATGAGCATGAAACTCATTTGAATCCATTTGATGTAAATTAACATGGGGCCAGGGATCAGGGGTTTGTGGTACTAACCACTGGGTTGGGGACCTGTTGTGACAAAATTAACATAACTGAAAGCGGAAACACACATTTTTATAATGATGGTGACAAAGAAACTGTATTTGTATTTAGCTATCAACTATGAAATTAATCACTAACTATTTTGATAATTGATTAATTGAGTAATTTATTTTTTAGGAAAGAATTCTCTTTAAAATATAGCTAAAAGTGGCTAGAGTGCTAAATTAAAACTTCATGGTTTATATAAGTCTTGAAGGTGTTTTTTTTTCAGGTAAGTTGAAAGAGTTATGTTCAGGTTTAAGGCAAGAGATGGTTGAGGTTGTAGTATTTTGTGCCATCTGCTGCTGTAGTGTTTCTGTGCCATCTGCATGCACACTCTCACTACAGCAACGTTACACGGTTAAGAGAAGATTTCAGCCCATGGGCCGATTGGAAAACTGCCTAACATGCTCTAAAACTATCAGAAGACATCGCCTGATTTCTGCTCTTTCTTTCAGCTGATCCTGCATGCTGTCTTTCACCCGCCCCTCCTCTTGCAAACATTTGGGTGCAGCAGATTTGAATTTTTCTGAGGAAACACCAATATAAAAATTGTAGCAACTGCTGTCACTGGCTAAATTAGTATCTTGATTATCTGGGTGGGGAAACCTGTAAAGCTGGCAGGTCTAACACAACCGCAGATGGGAAGTGATACAGATGAAAGTAGTTTTGCAGATGTCTTGTGCAGTCCTCCACTATCTCAAACAACACTTTGATATCTGTTAACACCTCCAGAATGTGTTCCTGACCCTTTTTGATAATACTGTCTTTGCGGATGAAATTTAAGTGCAGTGAAAATGAAACCTGCTCACAAGTGATGTTACCACCTCAGCGTTTTTGAAACGGCAGCAAAATTAGAGGGTGTAGCAGCTTTTGTGCCCCCCCCCCCTCATTTTTCCCCCACATACAAAAAAATGACGTCTATTTCAAAGTAGATTAGGCAATCCCAGGAGCGGCTGCTGGCACAGCAACACCATAGCTAGTGCAGTAGTGTGGGAAAATGGAGAATAAGTTGTGATTGATCTTTGTACCAGACTCTTGGCTGGAGCTGTGATCCCTGCTTAAACCCCGGCCCTGACTGTCCAGAAGCTTATGAAATATTCAGCGCTGGGACGGTGTCCGCTTACCTGCAGTAGAACATATTTTTTTTTTTTTTTGTGAGTGCCCACCCCTGGTTATTATAGGCTGGTTTCCTAGGCTTACATTATTCTTTGTTTAATAGATTGGAGTTACCACGGCAACCAATTGGTCATTTCACAGCATACCTCTGTGCCAAAGGTATTGACCATATTGGCTCCAGCTCTTTTGTCTGCTCTCCAGCCCTGCAGACCAGGCCTCCTTGCACACAAGTCATATCACAACACTCAGGACTTGAGAAAGCCAACACACTCAGTTTTATTTAAATTCTCCCTTTCACAACTTTTTTATTTGCTGCTTTCTCCTCAGCCAGGAGACTTGATGTCAAGACCCTGATGATTAAGTACTATTACCCAGGCTGGGGCAGAGGACTAGTGTAAGGCATAGCTGGGGAGTCTCTGAATCCAGGTGTGTGTGTGTGTGTGTGTGTGTGAGAGAGATGTAGATTGACAGATCTGTTCCAGGGCACCTGGGGCATGTAGATAAGCTGAGATGGGAAGTAGCATCAGGTACAGGGACTCCCCTGGCTAACAA